ATACCAAGACAATCGATTGAGAATGTCCCCTGTTAGAAAAAGAAAAGGTCTGTCAAATTCTTGGCATAGGCCAAAGTGTACTTGTGATGTACAGTTTGATTCCTTGAAGATGGAACCAAGTGTCCTGGGACCTAGCCCTACTGCCCTGCTGGGACCTAGCCCTACTGTGCATTACTGGGCATGTCCAGAACTCCATGCTCCACGGTTTCCCCTCACTGTCATCACTGAACTCGTTTTTTTTTTTTTTTTTTTTTAATACTAGCATTCTTGCTGTCTCTTTTCCCAAGATCACCCCACTGGGCAGAGCCAAAGAATGCCCTTGCCCTTCCCTACATCCTGGAGGAAGATAGCAGCACACAAAAGAACCACTGCTGGCTGAGCCACACCCCTGGGGAGAGGAAAACCAGGAAAGACTCTGCTGTGTGTTTATGACATTCACGAGCAGCTGCTTCCTCTGTTGACCCCACAGCAATGGTGGCCTGGCCCTCCCCTGACCTCTCTTATAGCCCCCAATCTGCCATCTGTCAGAGGGTCAGGGAGGAGGTGACCAGATACACGAGTTGTCAGTAGATAGGAAATGTGATGTCTGTCCCTTCAACTAAGTTCCTGGGAGGACCCAACTGTAGAGTTAACATGGTTGCGGGGTGTGCCTTGGTGGGTGTAGAGGTGGGAGGCTGGCTGTGTGTGGGAATGTACCTCATGTGAGTCCTTGGCTCTGAGTTCCGGCAGAAGAGGGAGAATAGATGTCTCTGCAATGGGGTTCCAGCAACTCTATCCACTTGCCATTGGGTCTGCCTGGGCAGTGACTCTCCACCTCTGTCCTGTGTGCATCAGGACAATCTGCTCCTATGAGCCCGTGTTCTCAAATGAGTACCTGGCACCATGAAGGTTTCCTATCTGTCAGGTTCTACTGTCTTCCCTTTCTGGAAACCACTCAACTGGTAGGCAACAAGAGAGGAGAGGAGCCCATTTCCCTTTGGCATGTGACTTTTATCTAGACAAGCCTGACTGCAGTGACAAGACCTGTGTTCAGCTAACCAGGATAAAGCTGATGGGTTGTCACAGCCCTTGGCCCTCATCTCTGCAGTGACCAAGCTGACGTTTTAGGGTGACACACCACACACCTGTGCTCTGAAAGACAGCAGGTCCAGCTCAGTGACTAACAGCCCCTTGTCTAAGTCTTGGCTTGAGAGGCCCTGAAGCAATTCGCAGCATTACTTGGCTCATGTACCCCTCATCCATCTTCAAAAATAGCAGCATAGAATCTTCAGGTTCCCTCTTTCTCTCTGGCCTCTGCTTCCATTGTTACAACTCCTTTTGTGGTTCCGGCCTCTTGCCTCTCTGTTATAAAGGCCCTGATGATTATAGTGGAGTCTTCCCAATAACCCAGGACAGCCAGGATAATTGCCTTCTCCCAATATCCTTAACTTAATCTCGTCTGCAAAATCCATTTTGTTGTGTAAGGCAAGTCAACCTTACAGGTTCTTCAGGTTAGTGTGTAAATTTAGCTTTGTGGGGGAGGGAGCATTGCTCAGCAAAAGAGATTTTGGAAAGAGGGCATTTCATCTAGTTCTCTGTTTCCAGGTGGCACTGAAATCAACCCAAAGGGAATCAATGGGTTTTACTGAAGGAGCCCCATTTTCCTATTGCATTGGCACAATCGTAACAAAATAAGCCTGTGTTGCTTTAGGTCCCTGAGCTTGTGGAACCCTGCTGTAGCAGCTGCAAACAACCATTAAAGAGGTTTCACCACGAATGGGGTGAACCTGGCACTGCGCTCCTTCCAAGGAAGCCAGCTGTCTAAGGAGATCTGGAATGAGGCATGTGGCGGGTGCCAAGGATGAAGGCCCATAGAAGCTAGGGGAGAGGGGGACGACACACTTGCTCTGTGACAGCCTTTGAGTCAGCCCTGGAGACTCTGCCATTTCTCTAAGCGACTTGTGTGTCGCCCGCTTGCCCCCATTTATTCTCAGAAACTTGAACGTGGGCTTTGAGGGAGAGAAGCCCACTGTGTATGGTGCTTTATGCAGTGCTGGGCTCTCAGATTTCGCACCTGTCAAGTGAACTGGTGTGGGGGTATGTGTAAGTTTGGCTTAGGAGCATACTTGACAGGTTGGGAAATGGGTTTTGGCATTCTTGGTACCATGGGGAAGTAGCTTTTGTACCATGCTGTATTTTCCTGTTTATTCTCAATCTTTCTAACTTCAACGATGTCTCCCTATTTCAAGAAACATCTGATGGAGCTTCTCATGGGTAAGAAGAAAGATTGGCTCTGTTAGGGTAGGTCGTAGTTTTGTGTAGAGGACATAGAACTGCCAGAGAAGTACAACCGTCACTTCCCCACTGGGCAAAGAGACCCGATTCCTCCCCACCATCCCTCCTGCAGGTGCCTGTGACTTTGTCAGACGTCCCTCACTTCTCTACAACTCCTCTTGGACCTGTTCATCTCCAGTTCAGCCAGAGACCTGAGCCACTGCTATGCCTTCATGGCAGAGAAAGCTGGCATAGCTGCAGGCTGGCCTTCCCCAGTGGGTGGGTCGCCTCCACTTCTCCCAGCTGAGAAGCCCCAGAACCTGTTCCGCTGAGTGGAAACAACTCACAGGCAATTTTCTGCCCTATCATTTTGGATGTCAAAGAAGCAGATTCCTCAGTATTGTGATGTTGTGGCAGTTGAGATCACGGGGAGCTACTGTGCACCTGGCCCAGGCAGTAAGCAAGTCAGAGAGAGGTAAGAAATAAGAGACAGGCTTTGCTTTTTCTTCTTCATAATGGAGTGGGCAAAAAACAGGTAAATGGAGTGGCCACCCCTTTACACGGTTACAGAGCTTCTCTGACCCAGTGCCTGGAGGTGTAGAACGCACCCTGAGACACATTTAAATGGCTGTGTATGTGTTTGTGCATACAACGGAGCCTCAGGTAACAACTCCAGCTGACCTTTAGCAGAGTGTTAAGGGGCAGAGGTGTGACTCAGTTGTCTACCAGCTCTTGCAAAATTTGAGTGTCTTCTCTGAGGTTACCCCATTTGTGAAATGGCTTCTCGGGCTAGCAAGAGACAATATCTAGAAAGGTGCCGGGACACAATAGGTGCTTACAAACACTGAGACCCAATTCCTATCCCAGGCTTCCATCAGCAACGGCCAAACAGGATAAAAGTCAGGTCCCTCATTTCCTTTCTTGCAAATCCGCCTTGTTCCTCTTGAACATTCTGTCTAATTGCTTCTGGCCAGTGCTCCAGGACATAAAAGAGAGGAAGGCTAGGAAGGCTCCCCATCTCCCGTTCTAATTTTTTTAATTGGGGGTACAGGAGACTCCCAATTAGGGCAGTGGCAGCACAGAGAAGGCAACAGCAGCAGCAGGGCCCCTGAGATGTTTTCCTGCAGAGAGAGGGGTGCGCAGAAGGGCACTGTCAAGAAAGGGTTACCCTGTAGTGCAAACACCCACCCCCCACTGTCAGCTCCTATTAAAGGACCAGGCGCAGGAAACAAGCTGGACTGTGACAGCTGCTCTCATTAACAGCGTGCTCCCTTTTCTCCCTTTTGGCCTTTACTTTAAAAAGAAAAACAACAACAAAAATAACAAAGCAAGCAAGGCAGTGAAAGCAGCCAGTCCTTAGGGTAGCCTTCCTATATCAAGGCTGGCAAGCTGCTCAGGTGCTGTTCTCTTCAATGGTCCCTGCTCCAAAGGCTCTGACTCCCATCCCCTCTTCTGGACTACACTGGACCAGATCCGTCCCACCTGCTGAAGCACCCTGCCAGGCCGCCCTAAGTAGCTACAATGGGATCAGCTTGTGAACAAAGGTAGTGAGTCTGCTTCACACCTGTGCTTTCCAGGGAATGTACCTCAGAAAGGTTAGAGCCACTCATGGACCCTAGCCTTTCACTTACTGAGGACACATTGACTCGCACTGAGACACAGGGAGAATAATATGTGTGCTATATATGCAGTCCCTGCTCCACGAATGCCCAGCCTAAAGGATGGTGACATCAACATTGTGACCAGTGCTGTTTCAGTGGAAAGTAAGGGACGTCACCACAGGGAGACATAGGCCAGGCTCAAAAACCCGGACAGGACAAAGAGCTAGGCTCCAGCTCGCTATTGTCCTTCATTTTTCCTGTGAATGAGCATGGATAATACTAGCAGCAGTGCAGCCCCCATATGTGCTGCTCACACACGCAGCCCTGACTGTTTGCTCCACTCCTGCTGGGTTGGGGCCAGCTCCCGGGAGGAGGAGCCTGAGAGGCACAGCACCACAGCAGGTGCTCACACAGCTTTGCTAGGTTAGCCCCTCTGAACTGTCAGTAGATTGGACAGGCAGAGATTAGGAAGGGAGACTGAGACAGGTGGTAGGCCGCATTTCAGGCCTGTTGGGAAGCAGGGAGCAAGCAGCCACAAGGACAAGCCGTGCCTTTGAGGCACAGCAGTATGAGGCCTGCCCCTAGGTTAGTCTTTGAAGAACTCTGAGCAAGGGTTGTGGGCTGGGAGAGGGCATTTCCTTCAGAAAATCTCCTCTTTTCCAGCTCACACAGAGCTCAGGATGTGACTAAGTCATCACAAGGCCATGGTGGGAAGGGTAGCCGCCTTCCAAGAGGCTGACTCCAGTGGCTAGTGGCTACTGAAGCAGAACATGAGCCTCCATGCATGATTCAAGAGGACCATGCATGCCATGTGACCTGGGGCAAGTGCCTTCTCTAGATTTCCTCATTTGCAAAGTGAGCAAGTTGGACAGGATCTAAGACTTCTTGCCTTGCAATGATTTACGAGCACAAACCAGCGTCTGCGTGCACACAGACACACACGCACACAAAGACTTAAAGACTCTCAGGTCCAACTTCACAGCTGAACAGGAACTCTGCTTGACTGAGGAATTTGGGGGTGACTCTTCAGATACCAAGTGGACGTTAAGAACGAGGTTTTCCTGGCTGCAGTCCCTGAGCTGGGAACATTTCACAAGTGACAGTCGAGGACTTGTGTTGGCATTTTAAGGACAAGCTGTTACTTACTATGCAGCAGGCCACCAGGGCGCCTTGAGCAAATCCCGCCAGGACATCACCAGGATGATGCTTGTGGTCAGATACGCGAGACAGGCCCGTGTAGAAGGCCATCATGAGCAAGGTGAACTGCAGCAGGGGCCGCAGCAGACGGGCTCCTCGCCACGTGAAGCGGGCCTGCAGGTACAGCTGGAGGGAGAAGGCAACACAAGACAGTGAGCGACATCCTACCCACAAGCACCAGATCGACACGTGCTGCATTTCTGCCACATGGAGCTATCCAAATCCTGGTCAGCATGGTCTCAATGCAGCATTCAACTTGGATTTGGCCTTAAGCCTGTGGCTTGAGTCTTGGTGTGTATACTAAAAAGTTAGAAGCAGCATTGATCTAGGGATCTCAGTATTCTACTTGGTCCAAAGCAGGCACCTGATCACTATCAGTTTCCTCTTAATCAAGTGAGAGAAGAATCACCAGGGTTGGGAAAGTTATTATTATTTTTTTTAATGATAACTCTTTTAGCATATGTATATGTTTGTTTCTGTGAGAGTTGTGGCAGTATAATCCCAGTATTCTTTGCCCCTCAGCATTGGTGTGGAAATAAAATACATCCCGATGACAGGGAATGAGCCTTATGGTCACAAGAGGTGCTTCTGCATCCCCGAGGTGACTCCATCCAAGGGCGGGGTCCTGAGACACCACTGGGAGCCACTGACTCCATGCTGGAATATCAGGAAACACACACAAACTGTCAAAGAGAGAGGGACAGTTACTGGCAGAAGAGCAACCTGAGGAAATATGGAAGAAAACAAAAACCACCTCAGGCTCAAGCAAAAAGGTTGAAGTGAAATGACGTCAAGTGGGTATTGTCCCCTCAGAGTTATCTGACTGCCGTTTCCGCTCTAACCTCCGGGTACAAGCCACTTCCCAGGTTCCTGTGGGAACTTGGGAAAGGAGGGAGAAGAGGCTAGCAGAGGACCAGGGCCACTTCCTCCTGCAAAGCAAAGCTCCCAAGGAAGAGCTGCAGGGAGGGGCGGCTGGCCTCCAGATAGACCCTGGGCAGTGGCAAGGGTGGGACCTGTCCTTCCGGAGATAAGACCAACACCTTCCTCCCTATGGACAGGAAGGGGCAAGCCAGCAGCCAGCCCTCAGGAGGTCAAGGAGGAGAAGGTGCCAGCGCCATCTGGCCGAGCAGGAGTAATGGAGGACTGCATCCTCAGCTACTTGGGGCAACTATTTCTAAAAAGCTAGGCCAGAAAAAACAGCAGGCAAGTTTCTAGTCATTGTAAAGTTATGTGATTGTTTGGGAAAATTTAACAGTTATAACTGAAAAATGGATAATCGCCTGTATTGATGTTGTTGGCTATCCAACAAGTGTTAAATGTTAATGGTTTTCTGTGTAAATAATGATCCGCTTAAAAACATCTAAAAGAAGAGATAAAATCATGAAAGCAAATATGACAAATGATGAATTTACCAAGAACCACATAGGACATTTATTATGTAAAGGAAATAAAGGGCCAATTTTAATAAAGAGAGCTGAAATCTTTTGCAAGAAAGTCTAAAATCAACTGGTAAATTGAGACATTGGTGTGTAACTTCAATTAGATTTCCACAGATACTCTAAAATATCTGGAAAAGAAATCTGAAAATAAACGAATCTAACATAAAATAAAAGATGAAATTTATGGTGCTAGCCTGTGAAAAATAAAGGAAGACGCTACGAACCATGACAAATGCTAGGTACACAGAAACGAGATGTGGAATTCCTGCTCCATGGAGCATATAGATGAGGGTCATATGAAAACAAAGAAGTCATGAAAGAAATTTGGGGCCAAGGTAAATTACAAAAGAAGAGGATTACTTGACTGGGATCTCTAAGAGGACTTGACACATGTTGGGAGTTAAGGGGAAGGGAGGCAGATATGGATTCTGCAGACACCTGCCATCACAGCTGCCCAAACTTCAAACAGTCCCAAGATGATGGCATCCCATGGGTGATGAGAAATGGAGCTGCAGAGGCGAGCTCGGGCCAGTTCCTGATGCGCTCTGACTATCACACTGGAGAATCTGGTCTTAATCAGGAGACCTGATGTCCTCTTGTTTTTGTTATTTCGAATACTTGTAAGATTAATAAAAATCCCTGAGAAGTCTTACAGGAAACAAAAAGAATTATCAGACCTCATATCACTGCTTTTCTAGAACAGTCATCTAGTGAATCACAACTGGAAAATAGTGTTGTCAACAATCCTAAAAGATGAAATGGTCCTAAGTAAGACACTAAATACCCTGAAAAATGCTTTTTAAGGACTAAAGCAATAGGCCAAAGGTTTACTCCTTCATTTCTGGTGAATGGAGCCATCAGTAGACTTTGCTACTGTGAATCAAAAGAAGTTTTTCTATTGGGAGGAGGGATGCATGATGCTTGAACCACCGCTCCAAGGCTCGCCGGCAGCACAAGAATCATGGTCTGGCCTTCCTGCAGCTGTTCTTAGCAGTGGATGGGTGTGGGAAAGGTTGCAGAAAGAACATATAGGCTTCCATTGGAAAAAGCTCACTGAGCCTCAGTTTGCTTATAAGAAAATAAACTTCACAATCATTGTCTTTCACGCCATTGTGATATGGACTGGTTGATAACAGATGTTAACATCTGTCTTAATTTGGGCCCAGGAGCTTCTAATTTCCCTCTCTGAAAACTCCACAGGTCTTCAGAAAATGTTTAGATTCTTCCAGCCCTTCTTCTGCCTGCTACATGCAGATTCTCAGTCGCAGGCCTTGGAGACCAGGGTGGGGCAGAGGAAGGGCGGGTTTTCCAACCGGACAAGGCCCACATCACTGCTTGCACTGACTCAGAGACTTAAGTCTGGGGCTTAATCAAAGAGGGAAAAAAAATGCCTATGTGAGAGGAACTTGGAGAGGAAGAGGCCTCAGGAAGGGTGGAAGGGAATGCTTCTGAATGAGAAAGAAATAGGGGACCTTGGGGGGAAAAATCCTTTAGGAAGCAATGCAACATGAGATTCCAGCCAGCAGACTCAAGCCCGCTCTGCGGTATTCATCAGTACAGAACACTCATGGAGGGATGTGTCAAGGTCAGGATAGATCATAGTTTGTGAAGCAAAGGTCACCCTGATTCTTGTCGTGGCTCTGCCACTTGGAATGAGTGGTGTCCTGTACCCCTTCTAAGTCTCAGTGCCTTCATCCGTAAAATAGGTTGAACTGTATCTCCCTAGTGGGGTGGTTGGGATGAAAAGAAAAGACATGGGAAGAAACTTGCAGAGGACAAACACCCAAGACTTCAGAATCAAAGACACTGTTGCCTTGGAAGAGATTTACTGACTGTAATTTCACCATGAAGCATGCGTTACTACAGGAGATTGCAAAATGACTTTCCACGTGGTGGCTACATCTGATCTGGGATGTCATGTGGTGCCACGAGGGTTCAAGACTGATCACAGGCTCTGCTCTCCCATGCAGCCCACACCACTCTCATGGTTAACTGGACTGGGTGTTGCTGGTTCAAAGCACGTGTCACCCCAAGCTGGAGCTGGGACCTCACTGTAATCAGTATATACATGCCTTCTGGAGTCTATCACAACAGGTAGTCCTAGAGCTCCATTCATCCACAGAAGGCAAGTGTACATTGTTCAAGAGAGAAGGTCAAATAATGTTGAACAGGAAGATGCCATGGTCTTATCCTTAACCAAAAGAGCAAGGACACCTTCCAAGGCTCAGAATGCCTGAAGGGGACTCCCAACATCCTCAACACCCTGAAAAAGGGTGAGCAGAGATGGACAAAATCAGAAAGTCTAAGTGACAGTTACCTCTCACAGTCTGCTTTCTAAGGTTTTGCCTTGTCTGTGTTTGCTCACCCAAGCTGTACAAAGACCTCTGCTCCAGAGGCTCAGGATCTGGGATTCATTTCCAGGCATCACTGGGATGCCACAGTTAAGGTTAGATTGGAATCTCTGCTACACATCAGCTGCATGCCTTGAGCCAGTCATGCTGCTCCTCTGATTTTGTTTTTCATATGTAATATGAGATTGGTTTGTTTCTTTTTTTTTTTTTTAACATTGCAAGCATCTGTAATTTTCAAAACTGCATGGCACGGATACGAATAATGCATGCTCCATATATACATATGATCTTAAAACTCCTCTCTACTGGGCCCAACGCAGTAGTCTATGGGCTATGGTTCTCACCTTGTATGTGCTGGGGTCCCTTATGGATGTTGGTTCGTATCCTGGCTGCTCTAGCTCCCATGCAGTTCCCTGCCTGTGGCCTGGGAAAGCAGTAAAGGACTGCCCAAAGTCTTGGATCCTGCACCCACATGGAAGACCAAGAAGAAGCTCCTAGCTTCAGATCAGCTCAGCTCTGGCTTGGAAAGTGAACCTGTGAACCTTCTCTCTGTAAATCTGCCTTTCTAATTAAAATAAATCTTTAAAAAAAAAATCCCTTGTACTAATAAAACTGCTGGTGACAGTTGAAGGGTTTATGTCTGCCTCCTCTCCCCTCCAATAATTGCATGAAAATCCTCGATACATACAACTCACAGAGTTCCTGTGTCTTTCCTGACTTAGCTCCAAGACTGCAGTCCTGTGAATTTTGAATAAAACCTCCTCAGATTGCATTGAGCCTGCTCCTCTGGTCAGAACCAGCAGTCAGATGTGTGGGTGAATCATACCCCCTGTTCTTGTTAAGTCACCTGTGTTTCCTTACCTGATTTACATACTGGTGAAACAGGTCTGTACTGTCCTCTCTCTTCCATTTTCCATTGCTCAAGGGACAGCCCAGGTAAGAGTGAAAAGGAGGCTTTTGTCCTCCCCTGGGCCTCTGCCTACTCTCTTCCTGGAAGCTGCTCTAGCTCACTCACATCCAGGGAGTAACTTTCTCCTCCCTGGCTCCCATTTGCTTGGTTTTGTGTACCTGGTGACTCATGGATATGATGTAGAATTAGAATTGCTCCCAAGACCAATGACAAATTTTTGGTCCACTTTTCCTGCTTTAGGAGAAAACCAAACCTTGGTCTTCTGCCACTATCAGGAAAGAAAGGAATTTAACCTTTCTTGAGCACTGTTCTGGATGCTGTACTTGGTGCTTTAAGTTACATTGCTTGCAGTAGTCCCAGAAAAGACACTAATGTGTCCATCATCTCAGATGGAGAAGTCAAGGTAATAAGGCTAAAATCAAGGCT